AAAAAAAAAAAAAAAAAAAAAAAAAAAAGCAAAAACTGTTGACATTTTATTACATTCACAGTACAACTGGTTAACTGCTTAAACCTCTAAAACGTAATTTACATAAGATTAATTCATCGTTTAATACCACAAATTGGAACATATTGATTTACGGTTTGTTCAACTTACCTTTATACCGACAACGGCAGTGCACTTTTATGTCAAAAGCTGCCAGAGTCATATTTTCAGTCAAAAAACTTTTCTAATTTTCTGCAAACAGATTTGCTGTTTTAGCGAAGAACCATTTGAAGTGAATAAATAATGGTGATCTAAAAACACCAAATCAAGACATGTGAATTATATAACAGTATAAGTTTTCAACTACACTGTTCTTTAAGGTAATAAACTTTAGTTCGTAGCCGTGTTGAGTTTCAGAGTTCTTTAGGTAGCTCTGTTCCATCAGATTCCAGTTCATCGGCATTGTCACTGGCTGATGTTGTGCATAAAAGTCGTATAGGCCCAAAAATATATGATAGAAACCAGTATGAAGAAACCGAAGAATGGTTAGCGAAATATTTTAAAGGTCAGCATAAAAGAATGATTTATATCCAGCAAGTTTAAACTAAGATAGAAAAAAAAACAAAAAGAAAACAAAAACCTTTTAAATTAGTTCAAGGTCGTCCATCTTTTTTTTCCTTGCTCGTTTTTCTTGTCATTCAGTTTTATTTCTGGTGATCAAAGGTATACTTATCTTTGCTAATTGCTTGGTGAACGTATAACACAATTACACATTTTTTCATTTAGACTTAAATAATTTGCGTAATAGCTATGTGCAAAGAAAAAGTGATAAAACAAGAAAAAAAAATGCAAAAAACGGCGATAATGTTGGAAATACAATGCAAATAGATCAATCAGTCAAGAAAGCAGTTTTGATCTTTAGGTAAAAAAGGAAAGTTAGAAGACGATGAACAGGCTGGATATCGGAATAAAGTTATCATCGAAGGAATACGTCAATACTTGACCGATGCAGCAACGACACATAAAACTGTTCATAAAGATGTTGCTATCAGCTCAGGCATGATAAAATTCTCTTGACATTTAACAATATAAAACTAATTTTTTGCTAAGTGTGCATATATCCAAAAAAGCCTCAACCAACTGCATATGTCTTAACTGTAGTTATAATTTTCAAGATCATTTAACCATCTGTTTTGATTTTTATGGCTATAAAGTTTTAAAAAGAGTTCACGTATATTGTCTGTGTAACAGTAAAAGCGTTTAGAACTTAATTTTGAACTGTTAATAAGAAAAAAATTTATTTGTGTTCACAGTTAATATTCTTCAAAGTGTCTGCAAAACTAAAAATTTTAATGCATTCTTTTTATTCAGTACTTAAACCATCAGAAATTGCACATTGTTATGGACTTATTCGGCAACAAACGTTACTCAATGCAGGCTACGAAGTGATCAAAAATACCACTCTTGACACTTGCAGGTATCGTTTAAAAACGCTGGCACTAGAGACTTATAAAAAAATAAATTCTCGAATAAGGTCATCTGAAAGGTTCGTTACCATAAATCCAGTTTACAGCAATAATTCAGATGCGCTTGCACTAATACCTGGTTAGCACAAGATTCCCCAATCCTATGTCGAAGTTTCCAGTACAACGATTTCAACGAATGCATGCTGAACAGGGCTGAACATCATAGTAAATATGATTTGGTCTATGACTTGACCTCATATTATTACTACATCAACTGCACTGCAACTGGTAAAATACATTTGTTTTGTTTCGTTTGCTCAACAAAACTGTAATTTTGAGATGAGCAATTACATTGACCAAATAATGAAAAATAAGGTTTTTCTAGAAAAAAAATTTGCAATAAAATGACGTTATTGTCTGCTCAGCTAATCTTGTGACATTTATAACAAGTAGAAGGCGTTTTTTTTGAACCTTTAAAATCTTTATATCAAAAGATATATTAAAAAAACAAAATTCTAGAATTCTTCGAACGAGCCAATAAATCCTGTGATGTTTCGCCCAGTAATGGACTTCCGGTCAAAGAAAATGAGCCTTTTAAGCACACATTTTCCACGTTTTTCCCGGTACCCAAAATAGATACGCTTCCTGATGATCCTGAGCTACAAACCATAATTGAGCAACATTTAATTCAACCAGGTGACGAAAGTAAAGCACCGCCAGAACATTCGATTACCCCTGGAGGAGAAACAAAACCAACATCTGAAGCAGCAACAACTGCTGAAAAACCGAAAACCGGAAGCTCTGAAAAATCCGAAAAGGACTACAAAAAAAGTTTAAAAAAGAACCATTCCAGTGAAAAAGACTTCGTTGACAAACCAAGAAAAGAAGTAAAAGTTGACCACTTATCGCGAGAGAAAACTGAAGCTTTGCTTGAGACTGCTAAAGAACTTATGAACGATACGAATAATGAAACTAGTGTCATGAAAGAAACGCCAAAAGCGTTAGCAAAAAACGAAAGTTTGCAAAAAAGTGCTACGAAATCGGTGGAGGAACACTGGATGGAGATACGAAATAAATTAATTTTTGAGCCAAAAAAGGCAGTTGTGCAAATGATCCCACCTATATCAACTATCAACGTTACTAGCAATATCATGGTAAATCCGGATGGACTACTAGAAAGTGAGGGAACATCAACTACTTCTACGCTGTCGCCTGAAAAGCTGACTGATGCAGAAACGACTTTATCCCTTAACACCACGCACAATCCTTCACCAAAAATAGATGTGACAACGATGGGAGTCACAGAAGTGTCGACAAGCACGGCTCCAACAGCAACAGCCACAACTAGCGAAAAGTTTAATTTTACCCACATGTCAGAAACAAATAGCACTAAGGAGAATGCGACTTCAGAAACAACCACATCTATAGTACCACTAAGCAGTGAGACTTCAAAAGCGGTTGATGTGCATGACAACACTGTAGAAACGACGAACAGCAGCAGTTCAATAGCTAATGTAGAAAACTGCTTTGAAGTAAACACTTTTGAAGATTTTAAAGTGTCTATAAAATCCTATCTGTTTGAAGACTAGAAAAACATCTGTTGCTTTTTAGGTAATCGATGGTTTTTCCATGACTGGTACTGCTGGGGGATTGGAAAATAACTTAAGTGTTGAACAATGTATGTGCCTTTGTGCAAACAGCAGGTATCGTCCTTCCCCTTTTCCATTTTTGTCGTAACCAGAAACTCTCGTGATTTTTATGAAGTTTAAATCAAAATTATTTTGCTTACATTTGCGGAGCGGAAACTTTTACTTGGGTTAAAATTTCGCTCTATCAGAAAACGTAGCGGTTCAAGCATTGAACTATATTTTCAAGAACAATTGGTTCATTCGGTTTTCAATGCGAATCAGTGACGTATTATCACAAGGAGCGTGATTGTGTGCTAAATTTGGAGAATAGAAAACAACGGCCAGAACTGTTTGAGAAAAATATGAAAAAGGAATACCAAATGAGTTATATTGGCTTGACTTGTTCTCCAGGTTGAAATTTTCATCATATAACTGCTCAAATTAAGTTTTGGCTTTGTTAGCGGCAAAGCTAGGCAGTTAGAAATTTGCAATACTTTCTTGCTTACCGGTTTATAATATTATTAGTACAGCAGACAGAAAACTGTATTTAGCTGATTTTTTCAATTTTTTAGAGAAAGCAATACAGCAATTTTCAAATCTAAAGGATAACTGTGGTTTACCGGAACAGATTGTTACCACCACTGAAGCACCTCCTATAAAAGCAGCAAAACCAAAACTTAGAGGTTTCTCAGTATAATTGGTGTTTTTTAGAACAGTTCACATGTATAGGACTGATAAGTCTCCACTGAAACTTTAATCAACTATTGTTGTTAAGAAATTCTTTGAGCGTATGTAATTCTGTGTTGTTATAAAGTAAACTATTAAAGCGCCAAAAGCTTGTTGATTTTCAGATTTTTCGGATGAATGTTACATTGAACTGCCAGATTTTGTTCTCGAAGGCACTGCGTTAGCTGTTGAGGCTAACGTTTCGGTAAACCAATGTAAATGCTATTGTGCAGATTCCCAAAATCGTTACGGTGAAATATGCCGTAGTGTTGAATACTACTTCGACTCTCAGACCTGTTTGTTGAATATTGAGAATAGGTCAGTAAGCCACTTTTGGATTTTTGCTAACTTTGTTAATTCCGAATTGATTTACCCACCAAGGGCTCATTATAAAGAAGGATTGGAGAATTATGATCATGCTGCTCTTACCAATTATAGAATGTCAAGACTATTCAAAAATAAAATTAAAAATATGAAATGTAAAAATGACATAATTATATTTGTTACAGATTAACCAATCCTAAAAATTTCAATTATATTCCTGGGATTACTATGACATACAGTTACTTCGATCATCAGTGTGCAACCAAAGGTATTAGTTCTTAACTGTTCATACCGTTTTCAGCTAAATTTATCGTTAAATTGAAAGATTAAAGAACAAAGAAGCATAAACTAACATATTGCCATGCCAAAGTTTATTAATTAAAAAATTTATAAACAGCTGGCTGTTGCAATAAATCTCAAAAAAATATTTGAAAATTTTACTACGTATTTTATCTTACTGTCTAAAATTACTTAATAAAAGATTGTTTAGAAAAAGCACTAACAAATTATCAATCCAAGTGTGAGAAAACTGTGCCACCCACTACCATGGAACCGAAACTGATGACAAATTCCTTGAGTGAAAATGTTGATTCAGATGGCCGAAACGTGAACAGCAATAGTAAAACTATTGCTGACAAAAAAATGGCACTGAAAGTTGGTGAACTTATTTCTTAACGTATACATAGACTGTGAACAATCTAAAAAACTATTTGTTGTTGAGCTGAGGTAATTCTGCTGTATAAAATCTCAAATTTTATACTCAATGTGAATTAAAATGCTAAGAATTCTTACTGGACTAATCAAACCGTTCATTGTCTGATTAAATTAGTAAGCTTCTTGTTATTATTACTAATAAACAGTTGAGATTCGCTGATACTTTAAAATTACTTATAGTATACTATTGTGCTATATATGAATGGACTTTTTCAGGAAGCTACTGAAAAGTTGAGCAAAAAAATTGAAGAAATCAAGAAAGAAGGTCATGACAAAGCGTTTATTGAAAAACAAGTAAAAAGCTTATTGGAAAAAGCAAAACGAAAGTTTTTGATGGAAGCTAAAAAGCTGGCTAAAATAGAAAAACAAAAAATTTTGCAAAAAAGTAAGTATTTTGAAGTACCAATTTCGATTTTGATAATTTATAGAAGATCTGTTAAGAATAAGTTATTTTGGCAAACATTTGTACCTTTTCTGTACACTTAAAACTGTGCTATTTATTGGATAATTTTTAACAATTAGAAGCGTAATTCTCCTTTTGAGTTGTCATCAGAGGTCACTGTAAAAACTTTTCTTGTAACAAGTTATTTAACAATTATTTGAGTAAAAGTTGAATTTTAGATCACAAATCTGATGAAAAATTAGCGGAAAAAAGTCAACAAGGCAAGAACACAGTTAGTGATAGAACGAAAAGTAAAAATGTTCAAGCAACAGCAAAAACTGTAGTTGTAAGTGCTGAGGTACCGACGGCAAATGCTACAGCTGTTAAGAAGACTCCTGACAACGGAACGGTAACGTCTTCGACTACGGACGCCAAAACTGTCACTACATCAACGACAACAACAACAGTTACCACAACAGGATCAACCAAAACAGCAACAATAACTAAAGCACCACAGACAACAACTGTGGCAACGAC